GCTGGATGGTCCTGGACAAAAACCCACCAAAATGGCCACAGATTGGCCATCGAGTGTAGCATTCCACTGTCTAGTTGTCTGCAGCTGGGGAGAAAGGAGCAGCTACATAAATTGATTCACATTCATAAAATCTGGGAATCTTGCTGCTTAGGGTGGCCAATGGCCAGCGGGATACAATAAGTCATAGTCCAAAAATGTAGGAGATTCCAAGCTCGGCTTTTTGCCTAGACATTTTAAATGGAGTGCACTGTAAAACAGGCAGTTGCCATGAACCCAGTTTACTAGAATACTGAGCAAAGTGAAGTGTGCTAAATTGATAATGATGGTGACTGTAAATTGCTGTTAGATGCATACATGATTCTTGGGGTTTTGGGGGGGGGGGGTTAACTTTAAAACACTTGCTGTTGTGAGGCTTAAAAAACACTAAAACAGCAGGTGTCTTCCATGACACAAATTACAATTTAAAAACCATTTCATATAGTAATTGCGATTTCACAGAACAGTAGACTCTCAATTAACCAGCACCCATGGGGATTGGTATACGCCAGATAAATATAGCTTCTGGTTGCTTGAGAATTACTTTTTAAAAATAGACCTCATGAGTACTATACCCCATCCTATGCCATAGTATAAGCTCTCTGTTACCAGATATTAATATTGAAATACAGTAATTAAAAGCAAATAATGACAAACTTATTGTGATTCAGTTTTACGGTATAAAAACAGCCTTGTGAATGCAGTATTAAATCTTCCATTTTTTGTCAGTTGCTTGAGAGTTCCTATTGTTTGAGTTCCACTTAATCAAGAGTCTATATATACAAAAATGTTCTGTGCATAATGAGTAACATAAAAACAAAAGAATCAATGAACGAAATCACACCAAATTTGGCAACAAAAGGTCTCACAACACAAGGAGTGACCATCACTCAAAAAATTATGATTTTGTCATTTGGAAGTTGTAGTTGCTGGGATTTATAGTTCACCTACAATCAAAGAGCATTCTGAACTCTATTAGCAATGGAATTGAACCAAACTTGGCACACAGAACACCCATGACCAACAGAAAATACTGGAAGGTTTTTTGGGCATTGACCTTTTGTTTGAGAGTTGTAGTTCACCTATATCCAGAGAGCACTGAGGACTCAAACAATGATGGATCTGAACCAAATTTGGCACAAGCACTCAATACGCCCAAATATGAACACAGATGGAGTTTGGGGAAAATAAACCTTGACATTTGGGATTTGTAGTCACTGGGATTCACAGTTCACCTACAATCAAACAGCATTCTGAACCCCACAAATGACAGAATTGGGGCAAACTTCCCACACAGAACTCCCATGACCAACAGAAAATACTTAAGGCCATCCAGTCCAACTCCCTTCATCAGGACAAGAAAACGTAATCAAAGCTCTACTGACAAAGAGCAATCCAGCCATAGATATAGTTATATATGATTCACACAGAGAGAGATATAGTATCATATATTTGAAAGGAACCCCTAAAGAAGGACAATGATATGTTGCATGTTCCAGGGTGGGCAAACCAGACACTCTCTACATCAACACTGACAAAGAAACAGCAAGAAATACTGTTTACCCACAAACACAAAGAAATTACATATATTAGAAACCAACACTTTCTCGTTACTTTATTTTCCAGATCACCAGACTGGGGCACAGCAATGCGTGGCAGGGGACAGCTAGTTGTATATAAATCAGGGTATGTTTGAGAATACCATGCTATCATAGACTTTAAAAAAATGATCAAAATAGTTACTTCTGACCAGGCATGTAGCCGGGGGGGGGGGGCTTGAGGGGCTTCAGCCCTCCCCCCCCCCGAAATTCTCATGGTGGTTCGCGAAAAGGCCTTATTGGTGCATTATTTAAACTGTTATGTTTATTCATATCATGATCTGATCACCATACTCAATATATCCCATATGCATGGGGGTATTTGGGTAATGATACAAAAGGTTTGCTAGGCTAGACCCTCTTTCACTCAGACTCAGCCCCCCCCCCCCCCGAAACTCAGCCCCCCCCGAAACCCCTCTGAAAAAAAATCCAGCCCCCCCCCAAATTGAAATCCTGGCTACGGGCTGCTTCTGACTTGTGGCAGTTATCTGTAGATGTGAGTGTATGTCTTCAAAATTTGTGCTACTTTTGCTGATGTAGCATTTAAAATGCTAGTGGGAGTGTTCTTGGGAATATTGTTTTTGCTACATGAAAAAATTATGCAACTATCTCTTGCCTTTTGCTTACTTTGTTCTTTTGGTACCCTCTCTCCTTCCTAGGAACATTTGCTCACTAATTTGATATCCCCACTTTTTTTGTTTTGTTTTTGGAAGCTGCATTTCAGACAATTTCTCTGAGAAATACATTTAAAGCGTTCCCTTCGCTTCATTCTTTGTCCTATTAGTGTAAAAACACGTCATTAAGATGAGGAAAGAGAATGGAAAATATAGTTTTTGGGCTACAGCTGGGTTCTGCCATTCAGTTTTACAGAGGAGTAGATGATACTGGCCACTCCCTTTCAGAGGAGGTAAATCTTGGTTTTGTCATACTGAGGGATTGTCCCCAAATGCAGGACTGTTCTGCTCACCAATTCACCTCTCAAAAATCTGCAAGTGATAACCAGTATTTTTAGTGTGAAAAAGTAGAAGACTGTGCAAGATACTTCAAGTAACAAAGTCTCTGGTAACAAAATTTCTTTTTGGACAAACACACATCCTTTCCTCCTTGTTGTTGGTTAGATGATGGTGAAGAAAGACTGGACTTCCAGGGTTGGGTTTTGTGCGGATTTGTAAAAAGGCACCATGATGAAATGGTGTTGCACCTCAGAGTAGATTCACTTTGCTAAAATCACCAAAACTGCACACAGACTGAAGTCTTTGTAATTTATTGAAGAATAAAAAATAAAAGTTCATAAAATCATGTTCCAAAAGATCAATAAAGCATATCACAATAAAGCAGAATTCTAAGAGTCACCAACAAAACAATCTCGCATGAGAACATGACAAAGTCCCAAGACCATGGACACAAGAACTACAAGATAATCCAAGCAAACGAGCCCAAGCTTCTTGGTTGAGTGCAAAGTTACTCTGACAAAGGTTTGTTTTTAAACACACTGCTTAATACCCTTTGCAATACATGAAAGCATTTCTTTGGCCTCTGACCTTCTTGTTAGCTATTCTCACACTTCTTCGAACTCTGAATTCCAAACTGTCAGCCCGATCTAAGATTCCCATTTCATCAAGGTCAGGCTGCTCATTAGTGTCAGCCTGCTTGCCTTCCTGCTTACTATCAGGCTGAGAACTGTCCTCCTTTTCTGAGTCAGTTTGCACCTGGCTAGTTTCAGTATCAAAAACATCATTCCCTGCTGTGGGAAACTGAACTTGCACACCCTGTTCCTCATTGTCTACAACAGGAACATTTTGAACCTGAATCCCATCATCCTTGTCAGAGTCACTCTGAGACCCCATCTGAGTCACAACACTATCAGTCTGTGGTTCCAGCTGAGTCACAACAAATGGGTTGATAGGAAAAGCATGTGTCAGTAGCCAGGAGCATGCCAGGAGCCAGAATTCTGTTTGGCTACTGTCTCAAGCTTGCTGCTAAGACAAACTGTTTTAACTGCCACTTTCACCTCAGAGAGTGAAGAGAGCGCTGACTGGAAACAGCCAGGAAGTAAATGGTTGCCAACTCTCTGAAGTTTGATCATTTCTAAGGCACAAAGCATATTTTAAAAACTGTTTAAAAAGACTGTTTATTCCCTCTGTTCTCTGTAAGAATTCAGAGAGACTGCTGTATATCTTGTTATCTGTTTGACCTTTTGAACTGAACTAAAGTTAGTGTTACTTGTTACACAAATCTGAGGGTGTATTTTGCAGGGTATATTTTGGTTCAGAAACAGTGGTAAAGCTTCTATTTATTTAAATCTACCACCTCCAACAGGTTTCAGCACCATATCTACTATAAACAATACAATAAACTTGAGCTGTGAAAGCATGAGACACCCATTAGCCAAACTTATCATAACTATGTATGACTGCTTACAACAGGTAGACAGCAGCGTCATCAGAATCCCTTACTGAGCATGTGTGAACAGCAAGACAATGAAGGGAAGAACAGATAAGCCAAATTATCCCTGGTAACTCTGTGTTTAGCATCATTTGAAGCCTCATCTCAGTTTTGTGCCAAATTGTTTTGTCCAAATACTTTATCACATATTTTGTCCAAACCACTTTATCACATGGCTCTTCGCAAGCATCATTGGATGCTTGCTGCACACTTAATCTACAGAACCCCATCCCACCTATCACATGATACATACTCACTTCTGGTGAGGCTCTGTAGATGAACTGTGGTGCAAGCATCCAGTGACACTTCATCTAGAACATGAGATGTTTCCTGTGTTCTGTAGGGAGTAACAGGGCCAGCACAGGGGGAAGCTGCACTGCAATGCTTCCCCATATATGATGGCGAAGCATCACTGCAGGCAAGTTGGGGCACGAGTGATGAGATAGCCCTGCTGCTCTTGAATTCATCTCAGAGGCTGGCAAATCCTCCCGCAGAGCTTCATCAATGTGATGAGGTCCTAAATGGTAGCCCCTGGGAATCATCCATTCTTTTATCCACACTTCTCGATCTGTTTCTGGTTCTTATAGCAAAAAAGGAGCCGTGGACTGTCAATGCAAATAATTCCTCAGATGAGCCCCTAAAATGTGAATGTACATATTACATATACCGGCTATACTAACATATTTGCAATGCACACTACAAGACATGTGGAAAGTTCACTGAAATGGGATGTTTACCTTTAGCTGTGTGCATTGACTCTCTTTTGGTCCTTGATGGGATAGTGCTACTTGTAATGCAGAAAGTGCCCTAGGAACTGACCAACAAATATTTTTGTCTACTAGTTTCATTGATTGGTTATTATGAGAATTGTTGAGTCTGCCTTTTTCACTTCTTTATCTTCTGTTTTTCCCTCCTGTGCAGATGATGGGAATGCTTAAAACAAGCAAAGGTAGTCTGAAACTGACTAATGTAAGTGGCAGCATGGCTCCTTCTGGAACATGCGGTGTGGTGTTGTGTGTGCTTCTGCCAAAGTGTGCTGCATGGCTTTCTGCTGTCATCCTGTGAATCAAGCAGCATGTTCAGTAACTCATTCAACAGCAATATGGATGTTTTTATGCCTCACTTTTCATTTTAAAAAAGGTTCCTTCCTTCCAACTGTATATTAGCCCAATACTGGTTGTTACAGCCTTTCTGTTTCTTCTTCCTATTTAGGTATAATGGATTTATTTCACCAAAGAAACATATAATTGTGACACAAATAACATTACATCAGTGTTTTCCACTTTTTATACAGTTTGTTTTAATTTAATTTAATTTGCAGGCATGTTATTGTGTCACAATAACCATTACATCTTGGGGGAAGGGTTCATTTAGTTTTATTTTGCAAACCGGTTCTTGTATGAATGTAGAGTTACCACCCAGTCTAGAGGAACAAATAGACTTCTATCAGTATTCAGGGATGTCTATACAACTTGCAAAATGGAGATTCCTAGAGGCATCGTGTTTTACAAATATAGCGGAGAATATCAATGGGAATTGTTTTGTATTATAACAATATAGAGTACTACTCAGGGCACGCGGGAGGCTATTCCTGCGTCTTCCATCCACAACTGTTGTTGAAAAACATTATGGTCTAGTGAGGAAGGTAGAGGCCCAATATTGACTGTGTCCAAATCTGGAGAATGTTTCTCATTACCTCTTGCCAGAGGCTGGACCCATGATGTTTGGCCTGCAGACCTTGAATCCCCACCATGAAATAAGAGACCAGACACAAGATGCGGAGAAATAAACGGGCCATTTATTGACCTAATTAGAAACTGATAAGTGAACTAATTGACTAGTTGTGGAGGGAGCACTGCGACATGGGTAATGGTGTGAAGCCAGGTATCTTTCTGGGACCACCTGCCAAACCAACCACTGGACAAAACACCTGACCCCGGGGGCAGTCCACATAGATGGCTTGCTTTCCCGGTCAGTCATTACTGAAAGGCCGTTGGAGGGGACCTCCCCCCCCCCAGCCATAAAGCCCCATAGGGGAGAGGCAACCCCCCCCCCAGGAAAGTCCTAAGGAAGATATTTTGGGAACCCCCTAAACCATAAAGCCCATAGAGATAAACCCAAAATTCCCTTCACCCCAGAATGGAGGGGTGCCAAGGTGTATGCCAATCCGGTCTCTCCCCCCACTTCCCGCCAGGAGCTCCTATTTATACAGCCCCACCCATTTAAATTCCTTGCTCCTGTCAGCTTCAATATGAGGTAGGCGAAAACCCCTCTTCTCTGAGGAGGGAAAAAATTCCTACCCAGCCCTAGTGCAGCCAGTACAACTCATATTGAACTGAGGACGGGAGGGTGGGTTGCGCTGCTGGAAGGCCGAATGCAGGGGGGAGGGGGCTACCTGTAGGAAGGTTTGTAAAGCCCCTCCCCTCTTCCACCTGGCAAAAATGCCAGCCGGAACCAACTGGTCCTTCACAGGGGGATTCAAGTGCTCCCCTCCAGCCATCCGTTGGCTCCTTCTGTCTGGAGGTGTGTGTTGTATGTGGAATAATCCAGTGCTGTTTTTCCACCTCTCTCCTTCCTCCTGAATCCTTCCATATGCTCTGAAACGTTTTCAGAAGCTATGGAAAACTTTCAGAGCTGGCCTTCTACATCTTGGAGAAAAGTAGGGGGGTCTGCCTACCTGCATGACCACATTTCTGTGTATGAACCCACACGACCTCTTTGATCATCTGGAAAGGACCTGCTCGCACTCCCACCTCCATTGCAAGCGCAATTGGTGGGGACGAGGGAGAGGGTCTTCTCAGTGGTGGCCCCTCGACTCTGGAATTCACTTCCCAAGGACATCAGGCATGCCCCGACTCTGGCAGTCTTCAGTAGGAGCTTCAAAACGTGGTTGATCCAGTGTGCCTTCCCAGAATAAGGAAATTCTCAGCAATATGTCCTCTAAATGCACTTTATTATTATTATTATTATTATTAACTTAATTATACCCCGCAAAATCTCCCGAAGGACTCGATGTGGCTTACAAAGGCCATGGCCGCCGACAACAACAACATACAATACACAATAAACTCATAATCAAATAATAAAACATCAAGCAAAACTGATTCATGTCTTATTATTTGCTTATGAGTTTATTGTGTATTGTATTTATTACTGATTTAGGATTGCCTGCACGCCCCCATCCCTCTCTGAAAACTCTATCCCAGTTATATCTTACCTGTTCATGCCCAGCATCATTTTTTAATTTTTAATTATTACATTTGGCCCAGCCATAGGTTTTTAATGTTTGTTGTGCTACTGTCAATGTTTATTGCTTATTTTTTGTTTATGAGATTTATTTTAACTGTTTTGTATTGTTGTTTGCTATTGCTTTTATTATTGATGTATTGTGGGCTCGGCCTCATGTAAGCCGCACCGAGTCCCTTGGGGAGATGGTAGCGGGGTATAAATAAAGTATTATTATTATTACTATTATTATTAGTCTCAACACTGCCCAAAGTGCAGCATTGAATTAATCCACAAGATTTCCCCAAAAATCTCAAAAGCAACTTTTTCCACATAAATCATAGCTATTGAGCCTTTGTATTGTTATAATGCTCAGGCAATCCATGTGAGTTCCTTTCTTTTGTTTTGATTTGTTAGCCCATAACATTGAAAGTGAACGCATTTTAATATTATGATCAAAAAGAGTAAGGGTTGAGTATTGAAAAAAGTTGTTCTGTTTGCCAAAGCTGCATCTCCCTTGCACCATTCTCATTCCTGCATCGTTTTTCCAATTTCCAACCTGATTTTTCTCTCGAGAGGAGGCTCCCTTCCCCATTAAACCTCATCACAATTCTGTGAAATCTGCAAATGAGGAATGGAATGGAACTGCCAACCTCATTTTCATTGTGTCCCGAGCTATAATTTGAGACCAGATTGTTCAAGGTGACAGGTCACTGCGCGGTGCTGCTTTGTTCTATTCCCCTTTTTGCTCTCTATTAACAGAAAGAAGCAAAATGCAGTTTGGGCTTTTCACGGCAGCTGCAAGAGGAACACACAGTTACGCTGGATTGCTGTTAACTGAAGGCACAACGCCACACGCAAGACACATATTGTCAGGACATAGGAAATAGTTGCAGGTGTCAGCAGAATATTGTGTTGTGATTGCGCTTGCTATCTAAATGATTGTGAGTGGCACAGCTGGGCAGATGTACATGACATATTGAAAGCTTTCAGGGCCAGTTTGTCCATTTGGCAGACTGGTAATCAAGCTACCTATCATGCTGAAATATACAGCATTAGAAAACTAGTCTGGATTTTCTTTTATTCATTTAATAATACACCTCCTTTTCCCCATGGTCATCAGGTCTGCAGCTGTTGGAATGCATGTCCTTCCTCAACTGCAGCCCTAGTGAAATTTCTTCCACCCAAACTGTTCATATCCCCTATAAATGTCAAGTACAGGCTTATTCAGTTCACAAAGCAGTTCAGAAAACTATCCTGAGATATTTATTTATCGTGTCAGGCAACCGAACAGTTGTATTACATTTTTGACAGAACAAACAAACATACATACATACAAAAGACACAGAGTTTGCAAGCTTGGTAGTTGATTAAATGTCCTTTGACCAGTATCTGGCCACTTGGGGTGCTTCTGGTTATGCCGCAAGAAGGTCCTCCATTGTGCATGTAGCAGGGATCAGGTTGCATTGCAATAGGTGGTCAGTGGTTTCCTCTTCTCCACACTCGCATGTTGTGGATTCCACTTTGTAGCCCCATTTCTGAAGGTTGGCTCTGCATCTTGTGGTGCCAGAGCGCAGTCTGTTCAGCGCCTTCCAAGTCGCCCAGTTTTCTGTGTGCCCAGGGGGGAGTCTCTCATTGGGTATCAGCCATTGATTGAGGCTCTGGGTTTGAGCCTGCCACTTTTGGACTCTCGCTTGCAGAGGTGTTCCAGCAAATGTCTCTGTAGATCTTTGAAAACTATTTCTTGATTTAAGTCGTTGGTGTGCTGGTTGATGCCCAAACAAGGGATGAGCTGGAGATGTCTCTGCCTTGGTCCTTTCACTATTGGCTGCTACTTCCCGGCAGATGTCAGGTGGTGCAATACCGGCTAAGCAGTGTAATTTCTCCAGTGGTGTAGGGTGGAGACACCCCGTGATAATGCGGCATGTCTCATTAAGAGCCACATCCACTGTTTTAGTGTGGTGAAATGTGTTCCACACTGGGCATGCATACTCAGCAGCAGAGTAGCATAGCGCAAGGGCGGATGTCTTCACTGTGTCTGGTTGTGATCCCCAGGTTGTGCCAGTAAGCTTTTGTATGATATTGTTTCTAACACCCCCTTTTTCCTTGATATTCAGGCAGTGCTTCTTGTAGGTATCCTGAGAGATAGAAAAGCTTTATTTAAGATAACAATTTGGAAACTATATCAAAGACATTTGTCAATCTAATGAATATTAATTGTACCATATATTTATAGGATAGCACAACTCAAATAATATGTGAGCTTTCACCCCATTTGCCAAGGTGCAGCTTTAGGTACCTCTTCTACTGGCTTTCTCCATTGGTCTATTAATCATAACATCCCCAATTGTGCCCAATTCTGGGCACCACAATTGAAGAGAGAGATTGACAAGCTAGAATGTGTCCAGAAGAGGGCGACTAAAATGATCAAGGGTCTGGAGAACAAGCTCTATGAGGAGCGGCTTAAAGGGGTGGGCATATTTAGCCTGAAGAAGAGAAGGCTGAGAGGAGATATGATAGCCATGTATAAATATGTGAGAGAAAATCATAGGGAGAAAGGAGTGAATTGTTTTCTGCTGCTCTGGAGACTAGAATGCAGAACAATGGCTTCAAACTACAAGAAATGAGATTCCATCTGAACACTAGGAAGAACTTCCTGACTGTGAGAGCTATTCAGCAGTGGAACTCTTTGACCCAGAGTGTGGTAGAGGCTTCTTCTTTGGAAACTTTTAAACAGAGGCTGG